CTTGAGCATGAATATACACGAAATGCAATCTAAATGTGGCTTCAAATGACAGCTTTGAACTGTTAACCAGTATTCAATTACTTAAGCTCTGCGATAAATAGCAGACCATTTGCACCATACTGCACATGGGTTACCGTTCCCTTGCCGACTGCTCAGCGCTACTTACACTATGTAACCACAAGATACAGAAAGACCAACCAGACCAACTAGAGAACAGACAGGGCGCATCCAGAGAAGAACCAAAAAGACTAACTGGGGAACAGTTAGCCCTGTTCCTACCCTTGGGTCCCGTGTGGTACGACCCTCTTCCCCATTCCTCATCCTATGTTCCCAAATTTTCCACTCTCTACCATTACCTGGGAGTTTGTGCAAAATCTCCTTCACTTTTCGCGCACTTGAAACAGAGAAAACGTTGAAAACTCAGCGACCAGAATCATTCTCCTCAATGTCAGATATAACCGTTCCCCTTCCTCCAGCAACCAACCACAACCCCCCCCCCTGGCTGGGGATCCTCGATGTACAACGTGCGTTGAAAATGGTAGAAGTACTGACTTCTGCCGCCACTAAATGGTGAACTGAAAGCTTTCCACATCTAATCTCAAAGAAATAAAACGAAAACAATAGAAGGAAAGTTCATTCTATTAATACACATATTAAAATGTTAAGTAATCTCCAGGCCATGTACAAAGACAAGCAACAAGGCGAATAGAAGAGGTTGAAGTAACCGTCTCTATTACGAAGTGCATTATCTAGGAAAAAAAGATGCCCTAATCTTATGTAAAGAAAGTGGAAAGTGAAAAAAAGGGAATGAACATCGGGAGAAACGGAAATCGGAAACCGAAATGAATGAAGCAAACCAACGGAGAGTGAGAGACAGGGAATACAAATGAAACAAGAACAGCATCAATGGATATGGAAGAAGATCAAGCGATGAATAAGGCTAATACAGATGAGAATTCATCCATTTACCAAAATCGTACAGTCATCACACTATTTAGTAACCGGTGTCTTCCAAATACTTGGCCATTTTTTCCACGGCCGTACGTACTTCGGCCGATACCTGGTTCTCACCCTCATAGATTGCAATCAGTACAACTGAACATTTTGATCTCAGATAATCAGTACACAAAGAAATTAGGGGAATTAATAGATGAAAAACATACCAGTCTTGGTTTTCGCAGCAAAGAACCCGCATTTTTCCTTCTTTCCAAAAATAAGGTTGTCCTCCGTACGTGGCACGATATAGTGAACCTGCAACAGATATGTACAAAAGATTCAACGGTCTTGAAAATACACGAATTTGGATTGATAGGTTACAAAGATGACAGCAGCCCTCTAGGTTCTGTTTCCTGCCTTCACCATTTCTACGGCTTCACCTATTTCTGGGATTTTTCAGAGTTGTCTTAGTAGTGAGCTGTAGTTAATACTGCATAGAATCATGCCAGATGGAAAAACAATCGATAGTCGTGAAAATTACGACAATGACCATGTTCGCCCGAATTTCAAGCTGCTACGAATGCTAGAAGTAATATCTTCCACCGAACGCTCTATTTTCCTATGACTAGCACAAAAAGGGTGTTAACGTTGTTTGAGGGATTGAGGACGCGCGGCGGCACCTCTATGTCAGGATCAGCCTTTTTCGGTTGCAGAACCTTTCAAGATCATTTTCCATTTCCAACTGATATTTTTTTATTTATTTGACAAGAGCTACAGTCCTGTTCGCTGTGAATGATGGGGGTTGTTAGGAGGACTGGGTATGGAGTGGGTGGCGCAAAACCGTTTTCCAGCGATTAATGAAGGGAACAAGCGATAAGACTGTGTCATATCGTTCGTTTTCCACCAACTGCTGACGCTCATCCGCTCCAAGAACTGGTGGAGAACGAGCTGGCAGCGCGCCAAAACAGTGCCACCGACGTGATTCCCATCACGGGTGTGCACCATATAGTTTGGGATGACCTTATAATTACTTTTTCGCACCTCGGCATACTTGCCAGTGGGATACCCCCAGATTAATTGCTTGCACGCTGACTGGTGACCTCTCATCCGCAGCCAACCGGCTCCACAACTGCTGGTTCCCTAAAGTGGGACGGGGGGGGGACGGACCCGGTGCAACAAATCTAAAAAAAGCCTTCCAAGAAATCGGTTCACCAACCTTGTAGCTCATTTTCCCGCTAAGCTTAGGCAAAAATCTCTCTTTTTCGGAATGCGCCACGCATTACACTTTCATTCAGAATCGCAATGGCTTATTGAACATACGATGTAGCCTAGAGAATTACTTGCGCGAGCCGGCCAATGTACAGCCATGTTTGTTATCCTCCCAGACGAATCTGATAGCAATTTACCGCCCCGGAGACAGAAAGCTCGATTGGCTTGAGCTGATCAGGGATCAGATCCCCGGAACTGCCCGCGTGGTAAGCGTGCCACTTGCCACTACACCAACTTTTTCTTATGGAAATATAAAGAGCAGTAATTCTCGGAAAAGACATACTTCTTCAAGATCGGCGCCGGTCGATGGGACGTCGGCAAGTTTGTCGAACAGCGCAACGAATTTCTTCAATTCGGCCTCGCTAGCCTGAAATCCAATATCGCCGCTGTCCTTTAATGGCTGACTTAGTATCCATTTTCGACTTTTTTTCTTCGAGATTTCGAAATAGATGGCTCCGATAAAGGCTCCGAAATGGCCTAGCTATAACTCAATTACACACGCGTTTAGCCTCAGCGCAACGGAATTATCAGACACGCCAAGCTAATATAATTCAAACAATCGGTTCTTTAACAGGGATCGATGGAATAGCGCAGCGGCGGCATCGCGCTGACATAGCTGGTGGGCCTCGTGAAGGGGGAACGCGAGACCAAAATGCCAAAAACAGATGGTCAGTGGGTTTGAGTCTGATAGTTAACGAGGCAATGGAATCATCTGACTGGAATCATGGTCGGACCTAGCGCGTCACATCTGGCGCCGTATCGCACGCTGCAAAACCACATGAAGAGGGAGCAACGAAATAAAGAAACACCACTGGGTTTAATTCGCAACCGTGAAAAGGGACCTTAAAAGCACCCTCCTTTCACAGAATTCTGTTACGATCTCCAGTCCATTACCTCATAGCCGACTTACCCCGAAAGTATACCGATGTTACCCAATTTTACCGTCCCATCTCTACATCAGAATGAGGGCACATTAGGGTGTTTCTCTAAATATGAGCTCCTCCAAAAGTTTCTCTTGAGCACAACCCACCTACCACCTCCAAATTTTTCCAAAACTTTGCCCATCAGGGGAGTTGAGGTTAGACAGCCGATAAATTACCAGAAGTGAGAAATAAAATGCTGCACGGGGGTTAAGGGGCAGGGAGTACAACGCGCCTGAAATGGAGAGAAATCAACAATCAGAAGGAAGTTCTCGAAGGCCAGCATGACCCCTTCTCCCCTGCTAACAACAATGACCCTCGTTGTTTTTCCCTCGAATCCTCCCTCCATTGCCCCCCCCCCCTTTTCTTTTTTCCCTTCTCGTATCCCGTGCCCTGAGTGAAACTCCTGCGAACTGTCGCCGCCGACTAGAGGGGTAGATAACGCGCCTGAAACGGGAAAAACTAATAGTTAAGGAAAAAATAAGACCTTCGATATCGAATACATAAGCGCAATGAAGGAACATAACAGGACAGTCTACTAACCTTGAAAGCGTTGGTGCCTTGAGTTCGGGCCCAGACAGAGCCATCGGCGAGGCTGACAATTGCAGCACGTTTGATCGAAGGTGATGACTCCGTCATGGAGGTGATGTAAGCTTGCCAACCGGAGGACATTCTGAGGCTAAAACCAAGGCTAAAACCAGACTCCATATTGCACCAAAACCAAACCCCACCAAATCACAGCCTATGGCAAATGAAACGTATACACGAACAAACAGACATGTCGCGGTGACACAGGGCTCGGAGACAAAATGAGCCTATCAATATGCATGTGTGCCCGTACGAGACCAACCGTTCGGGAGCGGGTGGAGGGGGCATCGGTGGGAAATCGCCATCAAGATCTCACCATCTCAGTGTTTCGTCATCAAAAATGACCACAACAATAAGAAAATAATCACTGTGTGAGCTCCCTGTAGGAAAAATCCAGACGGGAACTTCTAGTGGAAGAGCTTTTCAGCAAAATAAGCAAAGTGCAATTCAAGTGTGAGACGAGGAAATTGGGTTCGCCGAAAACACGTCGATGAGGTCAACGATGGCATAAGTACTTCACAAAATGGCATATATCAAAATAATAGATTCAATTTTAATTCATGAAAAGAATTTTCACTATGAGCAAGAATTGTGAGTGCGTAAATCGATCAATGCGTCGAAAATTCGGGCGCGAAACGAGGAGGTGAAGGGTTGTTGGGTGGCCATTTACGGATAAACCACCACTGTAAGAGGACTTTCAACGACGACTGCACGCCAAGGCGGTGGGTATACCAATGTACAATACAGAAATCTACAGTAAACTAGTAGCAAGATAGAGAAAAGCAGTAAATCATGGATGGCGAGTAGGTGAGTCTGCAGTTACAAGAGCCACCAGTAACTGGCTAGAGAACTAGTCAGCGCTCGGTTCTATGTTTGCGATACCAGTGCTCAGTAACTTGTACAACAATACTAGAGCACCCGAACTAAACAGCCAGAATGTATGCGCGGCTCGCAGGCGGCAGCACTGACCACCCATGGGGCGGGGATGGAGGTCAAGGGGTGGATAGCGAGATGGTCACAAGGAGAGCGAGCGCTGTCCAGCGAGTGCTCAATGTATGTGGACGTCAGGAGCAGACTGAAGTCATAACACGAGTGCATGAATGACATGATGACGAGAATATGTGTTGGTTGGGGCTGGTCGGTCGTTGTGGTGAAGTTAGTCATCCATCGGCTAGTAGGTGTGAGATGGCGAAGAGGAAGGAGGGGGCGGACCATTTGATGAGTAATCAAACGAAAGGACAACCCCAAGTAGATGTAGCTGCAGCAGCCGTGGTTGCAGCAGAATTCGTCACAACCAACTAGCCATTGGACATCGATCTGACAATGAAGCCTGACCTGATGGGTGTTCATGCTCCCATAAAGACTGTCAGGAAGAGTGTAAAAAAAACTAGAGGAGGATGAGAAGTTTCAAAATGGAGATTTCACAATGAGCATGACCTACTCGGAGCACGAGCGTGAAAACAATCTTCAGCATTGCGAAAGGCTTAGGACGTGAATTCAATGAGCCTGATGAGTCATCTCGGAATATGCTTAATGACACATCGTGAAGAAATAACTAGTAGAGATCTTCCGAAGGTTTCGAAAGGGCGAACACCATCCCGTACGAATCTCATCAGCGGTTGCATTTAGGCGCCGGAGGAGCGAGTCTTATTTCGTATCAAAAGGTCAAGCTCGTTTTGGGATCGCGTGCTGCTGACACCGAAATTTTACTTTTTCTTTGCGGAAGTATACTGTTTCGGTGGCAGTAACTTCTGAAAGAGGTTTCTTCAAGAACAATTGAGAAGTCGAGGTGTTAGGTGTTAAGCGAACATTTCAGTTGTATTTTTAGCCGGAAAGGTGAAGTCAATTGAGGGCAATGAGGGAATCAATGAGAAAATACTCTACCGAGTGCTATTACGTCTTTTGGCGGCCCCATGTGGCAACAGCACTCTGACAGTTTCGTACCATACACCACTAACTGCTTGTAGCTGCTAGTATATGCATCCTTTGGATCATGCAAGTAGGCACCTTATGGGTCCCATCCTGAGCCACAGTGAAGAAGCGTCACCTGAGAAACAACGCTACTTTCTCGACAAAAGAAAACCACCAGACCCGGGCCAGTGGCACTTTGCAAAATTCAATCAATAAACTGACGAGAAAACTCAGGAGGGAAGTCAGATTTCAAATAGAAGAATTGAAGGGATACCAGAAGCCAGCCGTACGATGTGGTGCATTATGTGCGCGCCACAATAATGGCACGAAAACAAAAGTTTTAGTTAGAGACCGTGAAAAAGGACCGTTTATCGATTAGCACGGCAATCAAGTGTAGCAAGGAATTGAAATGGCGTAAAACATATGGCTAGATGAACTGATGACAATGTGTTGGCATGAATGGTGAGATTGGTGGTTCTTTTCGAGTATTCGAATTGACCACCTCAACCTCCACCAAAACCACCATCATCACCATCGCCACCACGAGACGACGACCTCATTTCGAACGCCAAACAGTTTTTTTTCCTCGGCGGTTCGCGAGGCCTTTCGGATAGTTTTCTTGCCGAGCATCGTATGAAGATGATCGTACGCTACGTTGCGTACATATGGACACGTCACGTTTTTTATCGAGTGAAAAGACTTCAATCCCTAATGTTTCAGGACTGTGCTATGTTGTAGGCAGCGTACGCTAGCTGCCTAGATTATTAATCCTGTTTTTTGAATAGATTGTCATTCAATTATATACGAACACATATACGCCGAAGATTTGAGTTTTTCTGTTTCAAAAAGTTTGCCCCCGAGATCAGCGAGAAACTTCAACCTTACAGCGGCCTCACAAAAGTTTATGGATCTTCCATCAGTCAATACATCAGAAGCAATTGAAAAATGTGGGTGGAGTACGGTAAAAGAGGAACAAAAGTGAACAATTCTCAAACTCAGGCGGTTTGGGCATGAAGGGCGGAGTCTGGGGAGGGGCGTTACTTTTTCAGTTTGCGGTGTGAGTCTTCGCGCACTTTTGCAACTGGTTGCCGTTTTCAGTGGGCACATCACCCTTGTGAAATGACAACGAGAGGGGTCGTATTTTACCGCTACATAAGGATGGGGTTTATGAGCAAAGGGGTGAGCTCCTCAAAAAATCCCGTATTTTACCGCTACATAAGGATGGGGTTTATGAGCAAAGGGGTGAGCTCCTCAAAAAATCCCGTATTTTACCGCTACATAAGGATGGGGTTTATGAGTAAAGGTGATACAGTCTTGTCGCCTGCCGAAAGAAAAAAAAAGAAAAGAAACGGGCTGGCCCCACGTAGAACTCGTCCACCTGGCACGCCCCATCATCCGCAGAGAACAAGGCTGTACTGCGATGATTCGCTGCGACGCATTTATGCGCGTGTAACAGAAGAACTACTTTGTAGACGAAAGGACACTTGACTTCTTTAGGTCACGCACTAGTGTGAATTCTCCCTGTTCCTATTTAAAAACAAATCTCTGAAGGAATCAACAGAGCAGCAGAGAGTGAGCATTGAAGTAAATATCTAGTACCTGAAGTAGTTCCATGCTAACTGCAAAAGAGATGATGGTAAAGCACAATTGGACTTGAACGCCAACAGCTTTAACGTCATCACTGGAGGGACACAAGAAACAGTTATATGTACTAAATTTATGAAGTAAAAAATGAAAACAGTAGTGGAAATGCTTGGTTCATTTGACCGCAGTGGCATGGTTTGTATCAACAACCACGAAATGGGCGGAGATATTGCTGCACAATTCATAAGCAATGCATCCCTAGAGATCGGAAGGAACTTGCGGAATTCCTGGAACTTTTCCTGTAACTTCAGAGAAAGAAGAAGAGAGTTTATCCCTGTAAAGACACATTCGTCGGTCAGAAATCATGCTAATGGGTAAACTATGAAATTATAGTCCTCATCATTGCGGTGCAGGTGTAGGTGCTAACTGGCTTGGTATCGAGAATTATAAAATGTCAGAAATCCTCTGTAGCAAGGCTTGGTTAAATCCAGTCATTGGAAGAGTATGCTGTGATTGAAGACGCGGACATTGAAGGAGTTGTACATTCTAGACAGCTTCGGACGAGGGTCCTATAGCGGCACGTATGTGCTCCATGTCCCATAGAGGGTACGCGTGGCTACCAACATCGCTTGAACATGGCTTCGGCTGCGCCTCTAGTGGGGTATTTTCGGACGAATAAGAGGCAGAGGCATATATATTGAGAAAAGAAAGTCTGCGTAGGATAACCGTGCCTCTTGCTGCCATTCGATATGGACAATAATTATAAGTTGTTTGGCAGAAATGTCCTGCGATTGATTGCTGCAGCCAAAAAAATGTCCTACGGCACTATAGTAAGACCGAAGGAGGTCTCGTTGACCGATCCAGAGTACGACACATTCTTTTGTCAATGTAATAGGGCACAGTTCGACTTCATGCAGTCATTATCCTTACAAACGATGAGTGCGAGGGCGGAGTTTGTTCCCACCAATGATCTCATCCTGAGGTCGCCACAATTGGTGGAAAAGGGTAACTTGGCTGCTTTCCCTTCTCCCTTCCTCCCTTCCCCACGCGCCTCGTAGTTTGCATGGATAAGGAATGAGGCAAAGGGTAATGAAAACTGGTAGATACATTATATCTACAAGTAATGGGAAGGTGAACGGTGGTTATGGATATGGCCCTATATTATGAAACATGAGACACTAGCTAGCGCGCCTATAGGAGAGGCAGCAGAAAAAAATATCGAAAAGCCCAACGCTCTTCTCGCACCACTGACCTCTTTCAAACCTCTCCTCTTTTTCAAGCTTTCAGTTCTTTGGCTTTTTTGTTTTTATTTGTTTTCTCGTTCTTAGCATACCAGTAGTCCGATTTCACCTGTAGTCACTCATAGTAATAATAGGCCGTAAATCTCCGCGATGGCTGTAGGTTTTAGAAAAATGCAGCAGCAATAGAACGCAGCTGTGAAGGGGGGCGGGAACCCTGTCATAGGGCTGAGCTCACTATCGTGCTACCCTCTGACGACACTGTCACTCCCTTTTATGTCGCGAGAGTGAAAACACTTGGTCGACCGTGGACGAAAGGAGGAACTGCGTCTACGCTCAGATTGTAGTGAACCGTGCCTTTAAAGCATTACACCATCAATTGAACTG